GCAAAATGTTGTGAGCTCGGGATGCGTCGTCGTCGGACAGAAAGATGCACGTGGTCTAAAAATTCGGGAGTCGAGCGTCCGGCGATGACCCCTCGTATTTTTCACCTCGCGACGGACAAGATCGGCTCTTTCTCGTCACTCGGGTCGCTCGATTCGTGAGCAGCATTTTGATTCTCGCCGTTTCTCGAATCCCCTTTTCGCTGTATTTTGCGGTTTTCAACCCGGTTCTCGCTGCCTCGAGATTTTTGATTGGGTGGTTTGATTACTTGACGAATTTGGCACAGTGATTATTGTTGAGCGTCTTCCCCGCTTTCCTTTTTGCTGGGGAACGCTCGCGCGAGAACGATCTTACGCGGTACGATCGAGGGAGGCGGGACTTCTTCACGATTTATCATTCCAGCCGTGGTGCTTTAACGCGAGAACGAGAACGCTTGGAGCGACATCGGCAGGTCCACGACGTGCGACTCGATACAGTTTCATTTCCCCGCGCCGTTTCCGATTAGCGAGAAAGCGATAATCACCGACATTCGTGCGAGAAGGCTCTCGCGTGTCCCTCGATCGTAGCTTTCGCCTTGGTTTCGTAAGCGCAACGTTATTTGTCGCCGGATCTTCGCGAGATACAAGGTGGCGCGGATATAAGTACGCAGATTCGCAGGCATCGATACCGTGGAAATCATCGTCGTCGCAGCTTTGGTGGCCGGTGCGTCTTGGGAGCCACCGCAATAATAACGATAACAATAGGTACGGGATTGTTACATTTAACATACAATAAAATTAGACTCATTGTACTCGCGCTCGCGACTAATTAGCGACGAGCTGTCGGAAGTGCCGGCCGCCGCTTTGCACTCGGGCTCCGCTCGAATCCCTGCAATCAGAGTCTGGCCAACCGGGTCAGTTCTGGCAAACTTCTGCGAGAGAGAAGAATGCGCGTTCGCCACTTCTACCTCTTTCTTTCTCCTTCCTTCTCTTTCTCTCGCTTCCTTTCGGGAGCTGCCGGAAACAGAAGGACCGATCAAGAGTTGCCGTCTGCTGACTGGACTCCGATCAGAGGGACTCCAGGGCTGTGAATCGCCGTCTCGCCTCCGTCGAACGGCGTCGAAAACGCCTCGTACCGGTGTTTCTCAATGTAAATCGCGCAAGTTATACATACAAAGCGCGTTCCTCGTGAATGCCAATCAACGCTCGTACAACTGAATCCTCGTTACAGCACCGATTGCACAGGAGATCATTGAGGAAGAAGATACAGTAATCGTTAACAATACAAGAGCAACACAAACGAGCTGACGTGGATACCAGCGTCGATTATATCAGTCAAGACAAAAGTTACGTGTATATGCGTAATGCATATACCTTGTGCGATTCCACATATCTCGCGCGGTGCTCACGAAAGGAAGAAGTAACCGCGTAGGAATTGAAAGCGTAGATTTCGCCTCACGAGCCGACTATCGCACGTTGCGCGAAACGCACGAAATGGCCATCTACGCTCGTATCCACTGTCGCCCGTGCGCGACGAAGGTCCACATTATACTCTATCTAGACGAAAAAACATCGTTATGACGGAATCTAACACGTTCAGGGCCTTCTCTACGCCTGCGTCTTATAAATTAATACTTTCCGTAAGCATTCACACCCGCGATCAGTGGCACAACTCGCATTTAAAGGACTAACTAACGGAGGATTGTCTGCTTTAGGGTCTTTTCCATCCACTGTCAGTGCATCCATGAGGCGAAATTGCCGCACGGCGTTAATCGAGAATTTCACCAGCGCTCGTCGACCAGTTATAGATTATTGATTTGCGAATTACCTACAGGAGACGGCGTTAGCACCGTTGACCGAGCTTTTGGCACGAGCTTCTATACGCGTTAATTATTATCTCTCGTTATATCCCCGGCGGGAATCCAATTTCTTGTAAAAATATCTCGGAGGACCATCTCGGAGAAATTCTCTTTTATCTCGTAATTATTATTACTTTTTTAATTCAGGACTTGCAGCGCTCCCCTCGCGAATCCCCCACGATCACCGGCACCTGCGACGATAATCGCGCGCCACCGGAGGAACTTAAACACGCGGTTATGCGGCCATTTTGTAAATTAGCTCGTTATCAGTTGATAAACAAGATTGCGAGGCAGTTTCCTCGTTGCGTCATGGATGCAGAGCTCCCTCGGCCACGACACTTTTGCTATCTACCGAAACCTACTATTTACATCAATTCCTTGTAGACATAGCTAGCGTTTTACAGTTTGAGAGATATACGTTAAGTGTAGAATCGCTGGAAAGAAACGCACACGCACACTCGGTCATCTCGCTCGGCTGTCTCGTCCCATTCGCACGTAACACTCGCGACTTACATCTGTTTTTTTTTGTTGTTGTTGCTCTACCACTCTTTTGCCCCTTATCACAACACCAAACAGTGCCCGCTTCGGATGAAAGAGGCCCCGTACGGGGGCCTCGGCTGCGCTACGGCAGAAGTATCTCTACTAACAACCGTTGTCAGGATAATAGGTAGTCCTTACTCGTCCCGCTGTCCCGAATTCGCACGCATCATGTCCCCTGGTGACACACCGCCAAATGTTCTCACCTCGCTTACATTATTTCCGTGATTGAATTTTCGGTAGAACGACACACTCGCGCGACCATACCTTTGAATTTGATTTATCTTAAGGCCTTTGTCCGTATCGCCCAACGATTTTTACCTCTATTTTATATCTCAAAATTATCAATATATTCTTCTTATAGGAAAAGCGATATTTCCACGTTTTACTCATCCTCGTCGAATGTCGGTAAAAATTTGTAGTACTTATATTTGCACTTACAGTTGTTTTATTGATAATACGTTTACCGATTACTATATTATTAAGTGTCGCGTCATTAATATCACGGAAATTATCGAAGCTAAATGAGACTGCAGGTGCCCCTCCCAGAATGTATGAATTCAGATATTCTTTCTTACGATTTCGCAATGAAAACAAGGCGGGATAGAAGTCGGGAATTATTGCCTGGGTTTTTTTTCTCGTCGAAGTTTTTAATTTAAATAAATTTCATATCTCGTCAGTGCGTTGCAAAATCATCGAGATAATTTCATTAACGGATCGAAGAGTCGTACTGTGTAATGCCCGACGGGCAGTGCGGGAAGCGAAAGAAACGAGTTAGTAAAATCGAATCGTGTGAGTGACAGTCGAAATTGCGGAACCAGGTACGCGTGTTGGCTGTATCGTCGGTTTTGTTTGGCACAATGTTAGCATACCGCTTAGACTTGACAATAGTAGACAACAAGAATGGACAATAGTGGACAACAAGAAGCACCGACACTTCTCATAAACATGGAATAAATACGAGCTACCTTATGCCTGTTTCCCAAACAATTAGCGACCCAAAGAGAACGTGACTGAAACGACATTCGGCGTACATTTGAACTTGGCGAATTAGCTAAGTAAATTGTGCAAGGCGGTCAATATATCTTCACAGAACACTGTAAAACAATACACTTCGAAACGTAGGTGATTTAATTCTACCAGAATCGCTGAATTTGCAACGCAGAGCACTTGGCGGGAATCGAACGGATGTGACGTCCAGTATCGCTTGTTCTTTCCTTTTCCATTTTTCTCAGTGAAAAATAAAGGGATCCCCTCACTCGTCTCCCACCGAAAAGCACTCGCTCACGCTTGCGTAAGCTGATATTGACAAGTTCTTCGTCCCTCGCCTTTTCATGTTTCTCGCTCGCGTTTTCACTTCCCCTAATATCGTAGTTTAAAAGTCAACGATTAGTTACCAGAACACAAGGCACTTGGCTTACACATCATACATGTCTTTTTTTGTTATTAATTTGCTTTTTGGTATAGCTCGGTGTTGAGATAGCTGGCGCAAGACGCGCCGCGGGGGACAACATAGATATTGAAGATATCGAAGAGCAATAATCTCGCGCGGTAGTGTAACGTATTTCGCCAAATCGATCGGAACTTTCGGAAGGTGTACGAGGCGGCAATGAAATCTTTTGAGGACGTACGTTATAGTCGAATCAAGTACACGCGTTACGTAGTGAATCTACGGAGAACTGTCTTCCACTGACTTCCCTATTAAGATGTCAGCTGTCGAAAATAGTCCGAAGCACTCGTTTATACTACGTACAGACAAATGATTTGCTCTCACGAGAACGAAGCTGGAAAGGTTTCCGATCTGGAGTCTCACGTGGATCGCGTTGCGATTTCGCGTTTCTCGTTACGGATCCGCGGTGCGTCTTCCGACGTACAATGAAAATAGCACTCACCTCACATACGCAATATTCATAGAAGAAAATAGTCATATATATATGTATGTGTCGTCGTACATATAATATATATACTATCTATGCAATGCAGTAATAATATATATAATATATATTTACTTTATATATATTCAGTATTTGTCTTAATATATATTCATTTATAAACGACGGTTAGATTATTCAGTTACACATCTCGGTATTAAAACTCCTCGCCCTGTCCCTTTCGCTCTTTTTTTCTCTCTCTTTCTCTCATACGTACACACACACAACACGTGCGCGCAACATGCGGACCAACTCGTGCACGCGTACACATCTTCGCTTTCCTATCCCATCATAGTAGTAGAGTTTAATGGTACACTTAATGCTCATGCTGTCGTGAGGCAGGATTTTCGGTATTTCCTCTTGCGCCCTGTTCTCCCTTTTTCTAAAATGGATCTCGCTGGACAGGCCGACCTTATCGGCCGGAAGCTTATACACGTCTATGTACGTTAACATGTATCGTCGATCTACGTAGACGTTTCCCCCCCCCCCCTTTTGTTTTTAGTATTCCCTTTGATTCTCGTTTCCCTCTTTGATTTATGCTGTCGGCAACGACCGCGGCGCAAATCGGTCAGTGGTGCTTCTCGATGCGTTTCGCGTGATAATTTCTCGATTTCGTTTTTTCCCCACTTTCGCGCGCACTCTCTGAAAATTGGATCGCGAGTTATTAAACCGCCGTTTCTCTCCTCCCGTATTATTATTTTTTTTTTTCGATTGCGACTGTGCGTATTCGGCTCTGTGTGCTCTCGATCTCTCCGCCGGTAGCCGCTGATCTGCGTGTACCGAAGTCCCGCCACTCACGATTCAGAAGAAGCCGTTGTGGTTTCCGTGCTTTTCTCTCTCGCTCTCTTTCTTTCTCTCTCTCTCTTTTTTTTAACGAACAACATCGACATTTAACGCAGCAAGTACGGGGTCGTTCGGAGCCCCTCTGACTCTCTGTACACCACACATACTCAGTTTTGTATATATATATAAATATATATTGAGCGTACGTATGTGTATGTACGCAGCGATACATACATGCACGTACGCTGCCATCTGAGTTAATATGCATGTATGTGTATAATAGTAATATCGCCTTGTCATTCATATATTCAATATATATATATGTATATATTAAATAAAATGGTATGTATATACGTATGCGCAATGTAATCACTAGTTTAATGTGTATAAGTATGTCGCTTCAACGTAATACTGATGCGCAGACGCTCGTTGATCTGGCTAAGCCGTTCGATTTGCAATTAGCCCCTACAATCGGACTTAATCCCGATAACTCGAGTTATCCGTTCCTCGCTCATATATCTCGCACCCTCTCTTCAACGCCAGACTACTCGCGCACGCGGCTCCTACCTGGACAAAGAGAGGAATCGAAAATTCTACGTCGCGCAGTTGATAAAGTAATTGCGTGATATTCTCAAAGGGTTCGCTCTCTTTCTTTCTCTCGCGCTCTCTCAAGCAATTTTTCACATTCCATATACACTAAAGCTACGTCGTCGAAGAAATTAATATTTGTCGAACTCACGTGAGAGTGACTATGAATCTACCAGATTAACGAATCTCTCGGCAAGTCGGAGAAGTCGTCGACTGATCGCCGAACAAGTTGCGACAGCGATGAAAGTTACTGGCGGAGAGACACCCCTGTATAAATTCTCCGTGTGACTTTTATTAGCGGGCTTGCGCAAGAGAGAATTCTCGAATTCCTCGCATTCGCAGATAATCCGCCGCGTCGTTTGTGCCGTTTCTTCGTTGACGAAGACTAATGTAGCGGAGTTGCTTCTTCGCAGGGGGTTCTGAAGGCCTCCTTTTCTCTCCTCTTCGTCAACGGATCTGTCTTGCTCTCTTTCTATCTCTCGCTTTAAGTGGTATCACTTTGATAGGCTCCAGATTAAATTAGGCTTTTATCGGCAACTCGATACCACATCGCGCTTGAAATTGACTGAACTGTGCTTAATTATGTAAATAACGCATTGCAGTCTTCCGTCAAGAGACAATTGCGAGAGCACCTTTGGTAGAAAAACTCTCTGAAAAAATGAGAGAGAGAGAGATGAAGTCTTGCGAATCGCAATATAACTGATTGTACAAATCAATTTATATCTAAATTAAAGATAGCATTAAAGGTGACTTTATTGCGCGCAGACAACTTGCGAGTATTTTACGCAATATACGTATACAAACGCAATTTTTACGAAAACGCAGCGCTGATCGACAGCGAATGATATCGAGAACTCTCGCGATCGCTCGCGGAAGACAACCGCAAGGCGTTTTGTTATCGAGCTTTTTTAAAGCAGAACTTAGCCGGCCAGCTGTAGTTAGTCCACGCGTAACTATAACACATTTAATAATATATTGTCCATATTGCTTATGGCACCAACTTTTGAGCGATTTTATTACACAGTCCGGATACGAGAGATAATTGTGTGTTGCTTCGTCCGAGCCCGCGCCTCTTTGAGCAAGACAAGAATCTGATTAAGTGATTAGGTTTCAAGTAGCTAAGATAACGATGGATTCTAAATGTATAGGTATATTTATAGGTAATATCTAGTTGAGCAGAGAGAGATGGGAAAACAACGACAGTATAAACGCGCCGCTTGAATATATTGCTACCGAGCACGTGCTTCTCTTTCATTCTATTAAAATTATTGCGACAATTTATACGAGCAAGGGAGGTGTGTTGAGTATGAACGTGTACAATTTTTATTCTGGATGACTCTTTCACTCGTGTCCCGCATTTTAATTCGCATATAAACTAAGCTACAACAATCTCCGACCATTAAATTATCTGACAATGAGTATAATTATAGAAATGAGTCTTAGATACATTTTAGGGGATTTACGTATTAATACGATATACGGAAAATGTAAAGTCGTAAGTTTATGCAGTTGCATACAATTGTCAGAACTCGCGTCACTTCGCGACGGAAAACGCATTCCATTATCTTTTTAATCGTAACATCTGTTCTCGTATAAATCTCGATGTGACACACTTGCGTGGCTCTTCTACAGCTGACCATGTTCTAGTACATTAAAAACACTATTAACAATACGTTCTGTAGTAAAAGTTAATAGAGAATAGTATAACATCAAATAGAAGAGTATAAAGAACCATGCTGGTGTATAGAGATAGACATTAAAGTAGGTAATAGGTAAGAGGACGATAGATTACAATATTAATAATCCGTAATAACTTTTTCACTTATTAAGAGTAATTTTGCGTAAACGTTGATGATCATTTAGTAGACTTTTTTCTCTTTAATACAATATTTTGAGCACATTCCTCAGGTGTATAACCACGCTACACTTTCTTCATCGAGTTGTACCAATATATTCCACAACTTATTAAACTTCACCAGTAATAAATTATTTAACGATTATCAAGAGCTTTGTCAACGTACGAGCCATGGCGTGCATTGAACATTCTGTAGGAAATATTGCGCGAAATTTCACTTAAACAAGAGAATAAGTAGTACAATAGTTACTGTATAATAGTAATTACCCAAATAATGAATAAATTATCGATAATAATGAAATTAACTTAACATATCAAAACATCACTAACAATTCTGCAACTATATGCTAGGAAACGATGATACGTCTATATAAGTATTCGTTGCCGAAAAAAGGTATCTAACTTTCTCTCTTTTTTTTGTACATATTGCTCGATTATTATGTGCTTTTTCTCCCCTCCAATAGTAATTCCAATTATTTAATGCGCGTGTGAATTTGTAAATATGATTTACAACTGCGAATGCGGGAACCAGTAAATGTGTTTTAATCATCAATAGAGTATCAATATATTAGTACAGTAATATAGTAAAGGGTAGTCGTTTATAATAGAAACAAAGCACAAAATTATTAATCACGATTAATGTCTTTTGTCAGCTTGTTATGGGATTTCGAAAATGGACGTAAATTAATATTTTAACAAATTAAACGTGTGACACATCAGCACATATCTAGACGTGTTGTGACATCAACTTAAACGGGAGTAATGTAATAACAGAACGGTAATTTTCGACATGAATAAATTGCTCATACAAGAAAATGTAAAATATAAAACAACAAAACTTGGTTTAATAATTGTCGATGAGTGCAAAATGCTCCATTTGCACAGCCATTAAGTTAAGTGTTAGTTGGTAACTTCAAGTTAATCGTCTAATCACATACACGTACGAGAGCACAAAAAAACGAAAATGATATCGTATAGATTTGTCGATGATTAGTTCAGATTCATTCACTCGATGTCATCGCTATTCGATTTATGGCAGTACAATATCGGTACAACTCACTAGTTGATGGCACGGGTCCGCCTATGTACAAATATGTAATACCATATACCACATATGATTTAAATACATCACATAGTTATCATTTTGTTATATATATATTCTTCATATAGATATATCATTTTTTTTCTGTGACGTGGAGGGACTCGTTTGTACAATGCATATCTTCGTTACTGTTTCATTGCTTCGTTTCATGCCTTTCCCACTTTCTGAGTAAGTAGCCTCCAGTACTGTCTTTTGTATTGCTACTGTTCTAAATCCAGAGTATAGTTTGTCTTAACATAAACGTAAACAGAAGTATCTAGTGAATTTGAAACTTTTAATTCCAGTTCTCCTACTCTATCAAATTTATGGTGGGCAGACTTGAATTCACCTCAGAATTTTAGAAAGACACAAGAAATTGCTTTAGACTGCAGAAAAAAAACTCGTTGCTGCAATTATTAAATATCTTCTGGATTTGGTCAGCCAATACGTATTACCCCTTCGTTTTATTACTACCTATGATTTTTCCCTTGAAGCTCTAAGTCTGATTAAGAGTTAGATTACGTACAATAATAATTATATTAGTAGAAACTTAGTTTCTGTAACAAGTGTATTGTCTTAAATGATATGTCTGCTAATTTTGTTGTATTCGACCTACGCACCGAGCCTCTGTGTGTGGTCGGAATTCATAACAATTTTATTCCTTAAATAAACTAACTTTAAGATTCGAAAGTCTAGAATCTCTTATAGTATAGTATATACCTGTAGATCTCTAATACTACACTTTTATTCCTGTACTGGAGACCATTACTCAGCCGTTACAGAATCATTTAGTTTGGCTACAAAGGAGTATTTCCATGGGCTTGAAAATCATCACGTTTATAAATATAATCTTACAATATTATGAATTATATCGAAAAAATTAACATCAAATCGTACAGATAAACATTTTTTGATTTATGAAAATACACAATCAAATTGTTCTCTAATATTGTATATAATTTTTATAGGCCGGTCAATCCAACGAGGACAAATAGAAATTCTAAAACTTGGAATAATATCATGTTAAGTTAGTGCCCTTAGTGATACTCCCTCATATTAATCTCTTGTCTGTAAATAAATAGATAATGCAGATGTTGTGGCCGGAATATTTGATGTTTAGTTTGCATTACATTTTTGTAAATCGGGGATAAGATTAATGAGACACACATAAAGATAGAATAAATATTAAAGTACAGAGTTCTGAAGATCTAATGTCTCAAGAGAAGATATTTCTCATTTGCGACAATTAGATTTTCATTTACAATCATAGTTTTCGTTTACTTTGAAATAAGTGGAAGATTTAGAGCCATTTTTTTATACTTATGAAGACTTGGCAGATTTTTTTAAGTGTCCTCAGTCACTTGCGTTTACTTGAGAAAAGTTTCAAAAGTTAAAGTGTACGTTGTGTGTGTGCGCGATTCATTCAATGGTAAAAGTTAATAAGAAGAAGAATGTTAACAATAACAATGTTCTCAAGATAGAATCAGAGCATCTACGATTGGCAATTCTCTTGAATAACAATTTAGAGTTTCAATATAAATGAAACTTGATATATAAATATATTTTAATCTTTATAAAATTTAATACATTTATTATATTTGTCTTAATAAAATGCACGCTGTTTTTGTTCTAAATGTACTGAATGATTGTGTGAGGGATGTTCCTATATATATATAAATACATGAACACAACTAAAGACAAACTCTCTGGAGGTAAAATAGCCAAGCGTGTCCGAAGACGTAATCGGAAGACGTAAGTTGTAAAATCTTGATCAGAACATATTATCTTTCAGAAAGAAAAAAAAATAGATATATGCTCTTCAACGCTTACAGTTGTAATTTTTATCTCTTTGTTCTTAGTTTACTGGATGTTTGATCAAAGAAATGCGGTAATGTTAATCGTGGGAATTTTAGTTCAACGTACCATCGAGGTATATCAGAGAAAAGTAAATTCTTTTGATTGCTTAAGGCACCTTACATATAGGAACATCATTATAACAACTTTTGAACGGGAAATAAAACTTCATAGATTGTGGAAACATGCGACCAGTCATTGTTTTTACAAGAGCCTCGCCACGTAGCCTCTAGTAAGGTAGAAAATGAAGCCAAGTATATAAGTATATTTTTCTTTATATATATATATATATGTATATAGATCCCTCCTAAAACAACCTAAAACCTAGCCTACTTACTTTGCATAGAGTTTCATTTTAATTGTACATACAGACACTGACGTTATATATGTACAAACATGTACACATCTTATGTACATATAGCTATTTTAATGATCATTGAAGTTGAATATTATTTAATAAATGTACTCTATTCTCTGTATCTGTGTGTTGGGTGTGCGTATGTATAATATGTATGTATGGGCGTATGTATAATCATTTTACATTCAGTATCGGCGACGCGGGGAACGCCTCTGAAGTGAAACTTGAACAACGTCCTTCCTAGAGAATTATTTGCCTAAGCTAAAACGAGTTTCTTTTCAATTACATCAATTTGTGTGTTTATACATATTTATATTTATATATATTTATATTCATATATCGTATATATTAAAATTTTTATTCAATTGTATACTATTAATCTACTAAGTAACAGAGGTAAAGAAATTAAGGAGCTTCAACAAATCTACGTACGTTTGATATAAGACCCACTTATTTTCATCAAATTTTAGATATGCTAATGATATTTAAACTAAATATAATTATAGAGCGAACGTGCAACAAGTTGTACGTTACAATCCGGGATCCATTTACAAACTGCAATTGATCTCATTATAGTATCGTTATTTATTCAAATTAAATATTATTAATATTGGACGCGTAATTTTTATTGACAAATAAAATATCAATGACATCTCGTAATTTCAAGTGATTACAAAAATTTACGGGTTGTTAAGGATGTATTGGATAAATATCACAACCAATGCTATCACCGGGAAATTTTAACTTCACATTTTTAATAACGTGCCAGATTATGACCAATTGTTTTCCATTTTTTTACTTGCTCGTTTAAAAGTTTATTAATTATTAAAAATATTGTTATTTTATGGGTTTTACGGGAACTTAAAAAAAACAACCAATAAATCGAAACTTAATGCTAAAAATTTAATATTTTTTGCATTGTGTTCTTCAAACATGTAAAAATGTTTCTGCAAAGTTTCAAAATGATTTGCTTGTTCGCTTTGCAGTTATTATTTAAAAAATCGCTATAATTATCAGTTGACGACGGAAACAGCGCCGCATACTGACTGAATCTTCCAAGCTTTTCACTTTCATCGAAATTATGAACTTTTGATTCGTCCACTACATCCTTGAAGCGAATTAAAGATTTCTTACTGAAAACTCAAATGGCGCAGTTCCGTGTAAACTGATCCCGGTTGTAATCGAAAGAGAAAACAACCTAAAACATTTTTTTTTAATTGTGGAAGGGTAACAGGTAACAGTAATGTCTTGTGGCACAATCTGGGAACATTTCACGTGCATAATAAATAGGTACACTGAAATCGCGTTTAATCGTTAGAGCGCTTATTGTAGGTGCACGTCAATCTCTTTCAGTTTTGTTGATTTAGCACTCATTGTGCACGAAAGTACGCTTTCGTACGACTATCGAGTTGTGTTTGATTTTTCTAGGCCATGTTAAATGATCGCGTTTACCTTTTGTCTTCAACAAAACGCAAAAGTCTATACGTTCGCTTTACCTTTCAGTGATAGTGACCGTTTTGTTATTTCTTACACTGATGCCGGCATCTCGTCTTCCACGCTAAGGAAGATGTTTACGATCGGTACCCTGTCTCCTTGTTGAACAGAGCTCGTATTATGATTGCATAATTAAATACCTTCTACCGCTGCGCCATTAAACCCTACGAGTTCTACAACGTTCTCGTGCTTATTTTCCATTAATGATAGATGTTGTCTTTTTCTTTCTTCCTGAACCGCCGACTACGATACATATTCCGTATGAGTCTCATAAATTCAATTAGTCCATCCGACTGGTTAAACTCACCAGTCACGTTCCTTTGCACAGTTTCGCATATGTAGGGGGAGACATTCGCGTTTTTCGAAACTATCTATCTTGGAAGTTTACTCACGCAACCTGCCCCATTGTGAGCAAAAGTCTCGTAAAAAGATATTCTCGCAACGTTATCCGTAGCGATTGTGCGACGATCGCGATCGTTTAGAGCCCGGTACTACGTTTAGAGCCGATACCACGCGCGACCATATTACTTTCCTACAGTACCATTACAGCCTTCGTTAAGGTAGCTTAAGTTTAATTACTTGGATCCTGTCCTATGGTGGCCTCGTCGGATTATGGCACAAATGTGCTGTATTTTTGGCGCTGTTGTCACTGATATTCGCGGGCAGTTGTTGTTGATGGTCTTGAGCTTGCGGCGTAGCACTATCCGGCTGTTGCTGCTGTTGTTGTTGGGTCTGCTGCGACGGCATTGGCTGTTGCAGCTGCTGCGCTTTCGACGGTTGCTGCGTGGCTCGCTTAGATTCCTGACCCGTTGAATCGGGCAAGGGTATTGGCCTGTGGGATTTCATGTGTGCACTTCTGCTTTTCACTTTGTTGAAAACTCTGAAAGAAAAGTATAATTGGGACGGTCAAGCAGGCTGTTGCTTATCGGGGAGTCAGACTGGGCGAGACGTGGGCGCGGAATTTAGCGTTGCGAGATCTGTACGCGCGAACACGCTCTCGGTTGTAAGATTGTTGTGAGATTCATGTCAATACTTGGTAGGAAACAATGTAGATATGCGTAGAGACGATTGAACTTTAAGTTTGTCACACTCAGAAATATTTCGTTCCGCAAGTGTTGGACCGTATCTTAATTTAGACACTCATAGTATACAGTTTAGTGAGTTCACATATATTTAACACATAAGATAAGAAGTCGGAAATATCGACATAGCAACAGCAGTCTAACAAATCATGCTTGCGTTATGCACTTGAATTTAATTATATATAACATACCATGTAGCCAATTTATACATATATTTTTATCGGAAAGTGGAACATAGAGAAATATAATTGGAAGAACGTAGGCAGCTAATTAAAATAATGGTAGAATATAAGAATGTGTGCCAGGCATATTTAAAAAAAAATTAAATAATTAATCAAAATCGCCAATGGCAAAAAATGGATTAAAAATGTTATATCTTAATTGAATTCGGCAGTAAATATTACGTAAATATTAAAGAAAATTAATATATCGTACAATAAATATGGTTGTCATATTTATTCATTAAAAAATATTAAGTTTTTCGGTAAATCGTGGATGTATATCGTGAATGGCGTCTGTGCAGTTTCTGAAAATGTGTTAATATTATATGTATTTTATCACAAGAGAAACAAATCAGTTTTATTACACAAGTTATGCAGGGTTGATTCTAAAAATTCACTTTTTCCAAGTATTTAGAAATGCAACTGTAGCTTACTTGCACTTTAATTGCACTCCTGTCTTCACGTACATAAAAGTATATGATACTCTTTAATTTCCAAAACATGTATCTTGCTGTTGCATCGACTTTGCTTTGAACAATTTTTACTTTTACCGTTGTACGAGCCATTTGACAAAAGTCATATACACGTGGCATATGTATGGAATTCTTTAACTATATAGAGCTGGCATCGCGGCTCGCTATTCGGCTTTAGATCGTATGCAGAAAGGCACTCGGTCCCTCTACAAGCAAGGATATCGATGTGAGATGCGCCAATACTTGCCGCTTATATTGCCGTTAGAGCACGCGCGTCACACGAGCTCCGCCGTCAATTATTGGAAATGGATAATTTAGATTAGAGATTGGAGACTTACTTCCCGCAAATCTTGCAGGGGTAGTGAAGTGGGGTGGGCGCGGGTAGTTGTTGCTCAGAACTAGTGTGAGTTTGTGAGTTGGTGTTGACTGTGGCGTGGCCGGTATTGCCGATTTGGGCGGTTTGGGTGCTTCCGGCCATCGTTACTGTTACACTTCCGCTAAAGCTCTGACAACACAAAGAAAACACAAAGCCAAAATAAACAACACAAACAAACGACAACGGCGACGACAGATAAGTAACGCAACGGTCACACAACGCACAACATCCTCGACTCTCTTAAAATGAAGCGTGAGAAAACGACGGATCAGCAATCAATCTCATGCGACACTTAAATCTTCACACGTATGTACGCGTGTAAGATATTTCAGACACACCGAGTACGAATGCATATTGTTAAAGAAAATTTATATTCAACGCGCGATACTTTATAAAGATTTATTCTTTTAAAGAGGTATAATCGAGATGCGAATGCATATAAAAAGAATTTCTTCGTACTCGGCATACGTGAAGAAATAGGATATGCGGTGAGCAGCAAACATAGAGATAACTTATGTAAATGTATATTTTCTTCTCTGAATCAGTTATATTCACATAATATGCTATTATAATATTATCAGTAATGTGTATTGCCTAATTGAGAAGATTTGGCTTTACTCTCAAGTTAATTTGCAAAGACTTTGAATAGCCTATTATATAAGGAGTTAGATGTGATACTCGTGTAATTGTAAGAACACGGTACATGTTTATAGGATAAGAATATTATTACTTACATCTGTGCAGTCGTATGCGAATAACCTCAGCTCTCCTTCGCTGGTGGTCAGGGTCGCCGAATTTTCTCTTTCGTTTGTTTGTAGCTAAATGGACAGAAAAGCAAACGAAGTTTTTATACGCATATTTACGCGCTTGCGTGAATTTTAGCGTGGCACTGTTAAAGCAGAAAGCGACTGATTATAATTGAGCTTACTAGTGTACGATGAAGGATTGATTTGTCTTCACTGAAGTCCATTTCCGTCACAGACGCAATAGCGTCGCGTAGCTCTTTGGTATCCTTGCTATCTTTAATCTCGCTCTTGATCTTCGCTTTTCCATGGCAGATACGTAGCCTCTTGTACTCGTCAGGACAGAGTCTCTTCCAAAGGTAGTAGAACTGCACGCACTGTTTCGCGGTCTTGGCACCAACGTCCCGCGAAATCGCAGAGAAGTCTTTGTTGTACTTGAGCAGTCCCTGATAGAACGCGTCCATTTCTTGTGACGTCCATCTGTCGGACTCGTGGCACTCGTAGCTGAGCAGAGGATGCTCCATTGGTAGCGTAGGCGTTGGTCGCATCAATTTCACCATTGCTTCCTGAAACATGCGTCGAACTTGAGTAAATATCAACGACACATTAACGAAATGTAACATTATCAAAAAGGTGTTCGGGCAATGTACTCATGCGTGAGTTCTATTGCGCACAAAAATATCTTACGTGAATATTCCCTTTGCACATGTGCAACAGATGAAGCGCGTATTCCTTGTTCCTACCACCGCCCGGCACCGCGGCGCAACACGCGAACTGCAGATACATCTCCACTGCAAGCAATCGTTGTCCGTTGTACATTTCGCCATACACGTTTTTCAAGGTATACGTTCGCGAAAGGAAAACTTACGTTCGGTGTTCGTGAGCACGTTGTTTATGCCGGGATCCCACAGAAGATGGTCGGCCTCGGGCCCGTCGTTTCCCCTGTCCCCGTCGTACTCCACCGGGGGTATCGTAGCCTGATACCTCGTGCCGATGTTGATCCTCGGCGGTGGGCCGTCGTTCCCTTGAGAATCGTCCGAACTGAAGTCCGAGTCTCTCTCGTGCTGATGTAATCTCGCGTACAGCCCCGGACCGGGACGAGATGGGTCTAGGATCGGCGGCGGTGTGTAACTGCTGTCCCAGTGGCGGTCACAGGCCTTTCGCAGCCGCGACGGATAAGAGTGAGAACTGCTGACGTACTGGCCGCCGTCCATGCGCGGCCTCTTCCGACAGTGTCGCACGGGGCTGCTGGCGGGTAAACTGCCGGGACTGAGAAACACGTCATCGTCCAACAGCTCCTGCTTGATCTGTTCGATGGGTACTGGTAAATTTCCGGTGACCGTTTTGTGTCTCAGGACATTGTTCTTCGTCGCGTGGTTAGTTTGAACGAAGAACTTGGCCGGGTTGACGATTTGCTGCTGATTGAACTGTCCCGTTGCGTTGCACTGCTGCTGATTTGTCGTTTGAACGTTTAGGCCGAGATTCACGGTGACAGGCTCGATTTTCGGCGTCGCCAGACGGATCTCCTTCTTGAATGTCAACGCGGGACTGAGAGAGCCCGCCTGCACGAACACGTTCGCCTTCTGCAAGCCCGCCGTCTGTATCAGCTTGAACTCGCCGTTGTTGTCGACGACAATGCCGGCCAGGCTGCCGTTTCCGAGACCAAAGTCCACCAGGTTCTGGCTCGTGATCAGCTTGTACGATTGAAACTCGAATCGTCTGCGGCCGGAGGCGGTGAAGTCCTTCGAGGTCGAGGAGAGTAGAGGATCCTCCGAGTTCGGCATCATCTGATTTTGAAGCGCATGATGCGGCGACACGGGGAAGCTCGTGCCTGTAAAGGCGACCGGTCCCGGCGACGAGACGGAGGACGGCGGCAACGGCGACGGCGCCGACGTCGCCGACAACGGGCTTGGCAGTGGCGAGTGCGGATTTGGCGAACCGGACCCGTAGAGGTCCGCATCCGCCTCGGATTCACCCGGCAGCACCTCGTTCAGCGCCTCCTCCACGGCCGCGGCGGACGACATCGTGGTGGTGTAGAACGCCGCCGAGAGCGGCGACGACACCTGTCTCACGTTCTCCGGGTCCTCTTGGGGGCTCAGCAACGGCAGGCTGCCGGTGAGCAGGCCCTCCTGGCTGGCCGGTGGCGTCGGATACGTGAAGCTCGGGCTGTCGTGTCGCGTCAAAGGCGACGGCAGGGGTGACTGGGTTGGCAACGTATGAGGACTTTCCGTGTATTGCGCGGCGTAAGTACTGAATTCGGCCAGGGAGTCGGGCAACGGCGAGTTCACCAGCGCTTGAAGATCCGGATTGACCGTGTGCTGCGACGAGTATCGGTCCTCCAACGTGATATCCTGTAGCTGTTCCGTGGATTGCTCTTGCAGCAGACTGGCCGTCTGAAACTGTGGAGTACGAAAAATAGAAATTTGTTTCGCTGCGTTCTCCAACGCTACTTCACACGACGCGAAAGGGATCTTTATGAATTTTCAAAAGAGGGAATATAATTTTCTTCATCTTTCGCTCGTTTGCGATACGTTCATTGCATCGGAAAATGTTACGATCATTGCACAAAGCTACATTTGCCTTGGGGCTTTCGCTGCGCAAGTCAGAATTGTTTACCTGAATCGAGTCCAAATGGGTAGCGTGCAGAAGAACACTGTCAGGGACCGTCGTAACCTGCTGGAACACTTCGTCCTGCAGGCTTGGACTGAAATAACCGCCGTCCTCGGCGTATCCCGTCATCGTGAAGCTCTCCGTTACCGTGGGTTGTGGCTGCGGCTGCTGATTGTTCGGTTGCTGGTTGGCCGTCGCTGATTGCACGGGCTGCTGATAAGTCAAGTGTAATCTCTGTCCCGGATCGGAAGTCGTTCTCTTTACAGCCACTTTCGCACCCTGCGAGTTATCAGCCACATGCATATCACGCGTGTTTTCCGAAATGAATGTAGCTACGTGTTGGATCGTTAATCCACGAGAAAACTACGAGATATCTAATTCGAGTTACAACCGACGCGACGAGCGAAGGGAAACAGTTGCGACGTTATACCTTCAGGATCATGTCGGCGAGGGCCTGCGCCTGAGCCTGGGTCTTCGCCTCCTGCAATTGCTTCTGCACAGTCGCGTGGCCGCCCACGGTGATGTTGGGCTGCCGAAAGTGTTCGCCGTCGGAAAACCGACGCACCTTCTCCCCGGCCGCCAACGGCGGCGGAGCCGGCACCGCGAAGTTCGTCTTGACGGCGATTTGCGAGACGGCGTCGGCCTGCGTGGTGAAGACGGTGGCATTCGTACGAGGCGGCTGATTGCCATTCGCGTCCACTGCTAAAATGTAGATACGCGCTTTCTATTCATCCGGTCTTGCTGGCGTTCGATTGCAAAGTCTTAGCTTTGGAGAACTTGGTGAATATTAAATACGCTTGGGGCCAACAGTTTGTACAAGGCATATACAATTAAGCGCTACCTAATTATATTTTGCATCGACAGCGGAAACTATTTATCTCGTGCTTGACGAAGGAAAGCGTGCTTTCATCGCGATCATACTTTATCTGTTATTAGTTGAAAGGCAAAGGCTTCTCTCTACAACGGCTGGCGGTAAATACACGGTGTCTCTATGCAGTTTGCTTTCGTGTTTTCAGGTCGGGAATAAACGCCGGGCGTGAGAGGTGTCTCCCGAAGACTTGATGTTCCCGAGCGCGGAAGATGGATTGGTCCGGTAAGACACTTTTCTCTTTTGCTAAGGGGTGTGCACGGGGGTGCGGGGGGGTTGCAGTGCGTGCGTGCGCGCGTTTCCGAGCGGAATAAACAGAAAGACGGCGCGCGGACGAGCGTGAAACGGGAAGCGGAAAAAGCGGAAAGGGAGCTTCCCCGTATGCGTAAACGGGGAGTGTATGGCGTTCGAAATAAAAGGAACTTTTGTCGCCCTTTTTTCCTCGATTCACCCTTCACCCGACAATGGCGGCGGCCGCGAATTGGTGCTCTCTTTCAGCCGCGACGTGCGCCCGCCCCGCATGTCGGCGGTTTTTGTTTTCCCTTTGGCTTCGCGTATATATAATTGAAGAGAGAGGAAAAAGAAATAAAGCGTAGAGAGGATTGGCCGAAGCAACAACATACGTCGCGCGGCCCGCCCGCGCCCTCCCCCCGTCCGTGCAATAAAAATTTTTCGGTCTGTTGTATCTCTAAAAATAACAATATTTAAATTTCAAAAAAGCGCGTGCGCGCCGGCTACGTCACGGCATATCCTGAGAACGGGGAGTTTGCTGGAATAACTACATTTAAATTTCAAAAAGCGCTCATGCCGTTCTGGTTATAATGTATTCCGTAGTCCGGCGGTCTGACTCAATTTTTACGAAAGCGCACGGATGACGAGAGTATTATAATCGAGCGGACATGGGATACACTCGGCCGACGTGCCGCGCACGGGCATATGGAATAAAAATATTAGTGGGCTTCTCGATTATAATCATTGATCAGAAATATCCGGCGAGATGTAAAAATTCCAGCTTCCGCCCGGATGTGAAAGAATGAATATAACATTTTTTTAATTAACCAAAGTATTATGAGAGATTCGTATCTTTCTATGGGTTTATCTCTCGCTTTTCGAGAGCTATGAGAGAAAATTAAATAGTTTCTAATAATTTCTCCGAACGTAATGGAGAAGGAAGGCGAACGTATCACATTTTTGCACATACGCGCGCGCGCGCGCGCGTGATTTAGTTTACTTTGAAAACTACAAAAGGTTAATGGAATATTCTGCCGCTTATTTAAACCAAAGCGAAAAAGATCTGCGATCCTTCACCCCGCGCTCGCCGCTCCATCGTGCGCCGCAATAAATATTCCACCGCCCCGCGCTGAAATCGCGGCATACTGAAAAATATATTCTATAGCGCGCGCAATCGTTCATGGTGGCCGTGCAACTCGACGGAAATAAATGCGTGCATATCCTGGTCTCGCCGCGGGGGGCGAAAGGAGGAAATGGGATTCGCCGAGTGTACAGCTGTATTGCGACGAGAACTTTTCCACGACGATTTCATGAATATCTGGCCTTCGTTCTGGCTTCGAGCCCGGCTCTTTTCGTATTACTTGTTTTCGCCATTACACATCCTACCAGTTTTATCACGCGCGGCGTATAATTAGCAGCCTCGGGTGATTTCCCGTAACAGCACTGTGAATTTTGTACGCGACCGATTTCTATGCGGCAATAGAGGAAAGTCCCCTATTATAAGACAGGCTCCTAATTTGAGATAGCGGGGTTTCTGTTCAATTAATGGACGTCATCTGTTGATTCCGCCATGATTTTATTGCCCTTGGAGTGAAATCTGTTGAGTGGAAAATTCATTGTTAGATCGTGCAATCGTCGCGAAAAAAGATTTGTGATTGAATTTGGGTGTTGAAAACCTGCTATCTCTATTAGAAACCTATCTAATAATAGACGACTTTCCTCTACTACGTCTGCGACAAACTTACGAAAGATCGTTTCTAATTCCATTGCGAAGCGGAAACGCGAATCTTATAGCGAATTCGGTTGCTTGCACTAGTGCGCACCGAGTGCGCACTAAGGCTTGTTCATAGTCAGTTCTTAATTTTTTAAAGATCATCTTGAATACCTCTTGCAATATTTCTTATCCAGAAAAATGGCCCGTACAACGGTCACACGGATCATTTTTTTACTAAATACTCTTTGAACATGCATTTAAGATAAAGTGAAATATAACAATTAACTATAAACAAGTCTTAGTGTGCACTCAGTGCGTGTTAGCGCGAGCAACCGACTTTACTATTAGAAAAGATTGAAAGGTGGGGTGTCTCATTTTATGAAGCAAGCGACATCCACTCCTCAGCTTGCGAAAAACGGGGGGTTGTCCGGTTTTATCGATCGTCACGCGAAAGGCATGCGAGACTTTATATATTTGCATAAACCGCAAATTCCGTGACGTACGTGTGACAGCGTATATCGGCGCACACCAGCGGAGAGGCCGTGTGATATTTTTACAAATTGCCAATCATCGATCGCGGCGAGGCAAATTGCTTCCAACGAGGCGGTCGCGCGGGCCTGTCTCCGGCCTGTCCTATCCGCACTTGGAATGGAAATTGTTGTGGTCGATGCAGCAGCAGAAGCCGCCGCTGCCGCCGCGAAAAAGCCGATAGGACAAAGCGAAGATTCGGTCGCGCTGCTGATCCACACGTGTGACAATTTTTTATATAGCGGCATACGCATATCAGAGAAATCACGCGCGTTTAATTAAATCCAATAACTTTCTGTGTCGCCTAGCTTTTAAACTACCTCGGATAAAATGTTAAAATTAATCTAGCTCGTCATTTATTTAGAAGAAAGTTCCCTATTATGAGACAGGCTCCTAATATAAGATAGCAGAGTTTCTACTAAATTAATAGGCATCGTCTGTTGGTTCTATCGTGAATTTATTGCTATTGGGGTGAAATGTGTTTAGTGGGAAATTCAATGTTGAATCGTGTAAACGTTGCGAGAAAAAAGTTTTGATTGAATTTGGATGTTGAAAGCCTACTATCTCATATTAGAAGTCTGTCTCGCAATAGGGGACTTTCCTCTACATTTTAAATGTGTAACAAGGAAAAATATATAATGCCGAGAAATAGATTACGATCGAGCGTTTGCATAATTATGGAATGCACGCTCTTATTGTTGGACACGTATCGGCGAGAAACTAAATTGGACTATCGAAAAACAATCGTCGTGGAATGTCACAGGTCTAATTACTCGTTTGATTTGTCGCGTGATTGTTATCAGACACCCCTGCCGCGTTCTTTGGTGCACGGGAAACGTTCGATAGGTGATATTTTGCCGGCACGACTGTGCGCGCGTTCCTATCGATGTTCCATTCTCCCTTGCCCTCTCGGCCAGCCCTTTGTCAAAAATGTGCGCCAACGCCGTTGCACCACCAACAAGCAAATAACGGTGCAACGCGCATTCCCGATGCATCGTCAGCGGCGCATCGTGCGACTAGCACGCTCGCGCCAGCAAATTATTTATCGATCGATCTTGTTGTGCGGCCACTTTCGAGGCTTTCAAAAAATAATGGCCGGCAACCAACGGCCTGGCTAAATGACTGTCAACAATTCCCGGCGTGCCCCGATGGAAATGACGTTGTGTGTAGACAGCGGTTCCTATTGTACGCTGATTAATAACCGCGCGTGATCGAATATTCATAGAATTTCCGAGTCCATCATGCGGTAGAATTCGAAAAGGAGCTCGCCCGTTTACCGCGCGGCCGGTATTACAATGTCGCGTCCGACGATCAATCTGTACTACTTGAACCGGCGCCGTTTTCCGTATCGCGTGTGGAAACAATTCCCCCACGTGTGCACGAACAATTCCCAGATAAACGTTACGGACTCTACACCGGTTGAAAAAGAATAATCTTGTTAAAAATCAAATCTAGATTTGCACAGCCGTGCCGTATTAATTTTACCTCCGTCGAATTAGGGAAGCGTATCCATTGTTGCAAACAGCGATGTGCGCTTCGCGTCAATTCCTCACTACCTCGCGCGCGAATTCTCGCCACGCGAAATTTAAAAAAAATCCCTTCACGCTAAACACCGCTAACGGCCGTTAATCTCTTCAATACGAAATCTTCGTATATCGAAAAGTCGAAACGAGCACCGTGACAGAATTATTTCTTCGCAACTACAAACGATACAAATATACAGAATTTCCTAGATGAGCCCAATAAAATAAATCTTGAAACGAATTGTTTTTTTTAAACTCCGAGAAGCCAAAATCATGTCACTCTGTATTATGCGGCGATGAGAACTTTCTCTTAAAATTTATCCTGAAAATCGTGTAATCGTGGGGCAACACGGAATTTCGAAGAATTTTATGAGAGTTTTTTGAAATTTTATCATACATTTTTTAGCCCGCATACGCGACTGGTCATTTTCTTAAATCTTAAAGATTTCATTGTAGACGCCGCACAGTAAATATTAATGTATAGACTTTTCGGTATCGACTTTTCGCTCGAAATTATTTTAAACTATCGGGGGTGAACGGGCAGGTATATTTATTAGTAAAATGTACAGTAAAATTAAAAACAAACTGAAAAAGTTCTTCAAAATGCCATGCTGTTCCACGATTATGTGATTTTCAGGGTAAATTTCAAGAGAAAATTCTCTCCCCGTGTGCAATGAAATCTTTAAGACGTAAGATTTAAGAAAGCGGCCTATCACAATCGAACGTGAGGAGAATAATCGACTGCGATTGGCCATTTTCTTAAATCTTAAAGATCTCCTTGTAGACGCCGCACTAGTAAATATTAAAGTATTGACTTTTCGGTATCGACTTTCCGCTCGAAATTATTTAAAAATCTGTCACTGTCGGGAGTGAACGGGCAGCGATCATTCGCATCGCATCCGCTGCGAGGGGCGCGATCGCACCCCGGTGCGATTGTTTTGCGTTTATTTCGGGCTTACGGTCGCCGAAAAGAGCGGCGCGCAGAAGGCGTCGGGTAGCGGCTCGTCCCTCGCCATTCTTGGCAGATGCCGAGGCGAAATCGCGCATAAATCGCTAACGACGCACACTTTGTTACAAAAGCACGGGCCTGGACCGCCGGTCCGTTCTACTACTGCCGCCCCCGGCTTGATTTATCGCGCCAACGTGGACAATGCGAGAAATATTCTGGCGTGTTCGCTTCGTAAATTACGGTTCTTCGGCAGTCCATACACCATAGCCCCATAGAGAGGAGGCACCCTCTACCCCTTCGCGAAATATCACGGGGCGGCCCTCCCCGTTCTGGCAAATGTACATGTACGCGCATGAGGAAGAGACAGACGCAACGGAAGATACACCGTCGAATCGGGATACGTGCCCGTAAATCACACCGGAATCGCATTCGTGGATTCTGTGTTCTCAGCATCGCCCGCCGTAACACTGTATTAATTCCTTTTTTTTTCCCCCGCGGTTATGACACGTGTGTACCTTCGGGATTCTAAACGGAACAATGACGTCGCGGCCGATGCGTCTCTCCTGGCCGTATTGCGTCGAACAATGAATCGCCGACGCGGTTCACGGGAATCGCGACCACTTTGCTGTCCGTACAATTGTCGTAGTAACTTTGTTATCGATTGATGTGTCGTATCATCGTGTCATTGCGAAACATACAAATATAACTGACACAATTCCGATAGTCCTCTCATCTTAAATTATGTTGATTGAACTTACCAGTCGTTCTTTTCTGTATGATCTTCTCCTCGATGAGCGCTCTCACGCTGACGGACGCCGTCTGCAGAGGCGGCCCAACGACTTCTTTCTTCTCGCTCTTCTTGTTCTCCGCGTCCTGTAACACGCGAGGGAAAAAGCACTGTCAAATCGAGTTCAACAGACTGTTAGTTCGCCGCGCGATAAAAATCGAGCACTGCTAAACGTCGTAAATTTCCCACATTACGCTTTCGATCACAAATGGATTGATGTAACGAAAGGCAAAATCGATATCGCGTCAGCGCGAAATATCGGGCCAGCATGTATCGGGCATATCAGCCGATCGCGGTCGAATATAATAAAGCTGGGCTCTTATTGGTCGCGCGTGCGGCTAGGATTTCGCTCGAGCTCACCTAGGACTCGTACTTTAGCCAGAATCCTCGTTGAACCCAGCCACGAAGGACTCGTGACGGGAGAACCTGGATTAGAAGCTCAAATCACGGGCAAATTGACGCGCAGCATACTAAGGGGGAGACGTAGGGAGACTACAATGGTGAATAGGAGAAGCGGAGGGGCGGGAGGGGCCCGGAGATGCACGCTAATCACTGAGCAAGGCTAATTGAGGCGCCCGTTGGATTATATCGTAATGGAATCTCCGGCGTGTGCGATTCAACATCCTGTAATACACCGGCGCTAAGGAAGGTGCCCTGCCCAGTTTCTTGCTGGGCGCGAAGAATCAAATCAGTGCCTGATAAGCTTCGACTCCGAATCGCGATAAAGCCCGATATCGCGCGCTGATCAAATTCACGCGTTTTTCATTCTTTACGACTTAATATTCGGGTACATGTTCACCTATCTAAATATCTTTTTATCACACCTCGATTATTAACTATTGTTAAAATTCTATGCTTTCTCAACGCTCTTAACCCTTTGAAGCACGCTGGTAACCCACGTTACCACCTCAACTTCTTTACTTTTTGGCTATTTAATTTCTAGTTAACGCATTTAGGTCAGGTTTTTTGCATTTTGTGGGTATCTTAGCGAGAAAAGAACATAAAAAAAGTTGAGTAGTCTTTAATATTTATTGTAACAGTTTTGTAACTAAATTATTGGCCAAGTTTTTTAAGACTATTTCTTGAACATTTTGTACAAAGGAGTTTTCGGGGTCTCTCATTACGAATATGTTGAATTTTCAAAATTCAAAATGGCTGACCCAAAATGGCGGGCGCAAAGTACGTGAATTTTTTAAGTTTTTCAGCATTTTCGATTGACTACGGTATTTAGGGAATCATCACGTCCGCGTCGTTAGCTCTGGTTAGTGCCAAGAATGAGTAAATTCTAAGAAATTATCAAATTTGCTTCCGTCATTTCGCGCGTGTTATTTTTTATATTCTATACGAATTTTCAACTGAAATTTAGATTCCATGTATCAATAATATCTAAATAATGTTTCTTAGCATAGTTGAACTACAGTTGAATGATGTCATTCTTTTCAGTTTTGAATTCCGCCATTTTGAATTGTGAAAATCTGATAATGGATTCGTAATCAGCAACCCCAAAAACCTTTGTATACAAAGTTTCACAAAAAATGGTTCAATAGAAAAATGCATGCTTCAAAGGGTTAAAAGAGCCTTCAATTGCTCAACGCTTCCACAACACAGCAAGACGAGAAAATTCTTTTCTACCTGTTTACAATATCGCGACGACACAGTAGCGGGCCGCTACTGTGTCGTCGCGGCCTTGTCATCCTCGATTTATTATTATTCCCGAAGTGGTATCTTCGCAAGCACCCTCTCGTTCCGCACCCCGCTAGGCAAGCCGCTCTCTAGTCGCGAACTTACCGTCGCCGCGAGCTATGCAGGCCCTACTTCCTAACTCACTAAGCACGGGAATTCCTTAAAGTCCGCGTAATTTTTTCTCTAAGGCCCTCCGCTCGCGCGTAAAAGTTATATTACTTAAAGTTCCCGCGGGTTGTGCGCGCGTGCGGACGGGACTCGCGAGGGACGCGGAGAGACCACCGCATCCATCAAGCGCTCACCCATGAAGCCTGTATAAGGAGACCGAACTTAGGCTTGATTACGTCACCAAATATGGGCCGACATTATTGCAAGTTATTGAATCAAAATTTTGCCACTTGTAGCATTGTCGTCGCATAAACGGATTAAGGATACGCCCACGAGTTTACCGATCTTGATCTCACTGGCTCCTAGATACAGCGTATAACCGTTGTTATCTGGGGGTCGATTTCTGGAACTTATTACAAAAGTGAGTGAATACTAGAATATTTATAATTTCAACCTGTGAATTCGCTCACTTTTGTAATTTTCACAAGTTTCAAAGATATACAATCCACCTCCTCGTCTTATTTTTTTGGATCGGACCTGATCTCAAGCCTGATCTCACGAAAGCTTCATGCATATGACAACCATGTGACGCGCACGAATGCGAATCGAGTTGTCCGTTGGCAGCGCATCGAAGTTGACACCGCGTTTGTCTGTTTGAAAGATTTTCTACAATATCGGTGTTAAAATTGACACCGAGTTATTTAACTACGTGAATGTGGTGAAAGCTCACACCACTATTTTTTAGAGTGCAGTGATTCTTTTCGGAACGAATAAGTCTAAAAAATGTCGGCCCACTCTGATTGCGGGAGCTCGGTCTCCTTATACAGGCTTCATGCGTTCACCCAACGATCTCCGCGTTTCGAGATACGTTTATAATTAGCATACTAATACCGCCCGCGTATACATCTTGCAGTCACCCTCACCGGCGTCGATAATACGCATATCTCCCCGGATACATACGTCATCATCGTCATCTTCGTCGGGCCTTAATGGGACGGCCGGTCGCCGTCGCGCGCGCGCGCGGCCCTCAATTTCCTATCTCCTACTTCGATACGCGTGTAACGCGGCGGCACTTACGCACCCGCAGCCGCGTATATATCACGCCTCCCACGAAATTGAACTCTGTCTTTGACGGGGCGTACATCGTTCCGCTCGCTTCATGAATATTGATCGGCGGCCGTTAATACGCGGAATTGATTACGGAACGTCCGCCACGCCGCGCCGCGCCGCGTCGCGCCGATCCCGAACTCATCAATTCGATCTGTGTCGATTCCAGCTACCGGAATTATCTCCCGCGACCGCGCCATTGTCCGTGATTAGACCCCCGCGAGTCGTTCGCTCCTTTTTGCGAGTTATTTTTATGCCCCGCGCGCGAAAAGAGTGTACAATTTGCGGACGGAGATTTATTTAGCCCGCCAGCACCTTCTCTTGATTTATCGATTTAATTTAATTCCGAATTATTTTTACGTTTCTGTAAAACCGTCTCCGTACAGCTACGGAGAGAGACGTATCCGTCGACTCGGCGTTTTTGTCACCACTGGTCAATATATCAATCGGTATTCTATTTTACGACTGCGTGCAAGTAATACAATTCAAGGAAGAAGCACGTAGACCGTGTCTTCGATTACAAAGAGGCGATTAACGAACGACGCTGCCGGGGCGACGGGGGAGTCCTGTGCGGCTATTTCCGATATTTCTTGCTCTTATCTCGGCCACGCGGGGCATCGATCAATCGACAATCCACGGCGCGCTTACGTTTTCCAACAATTCTTACCTCCGGACGATCAATCGTGCCGCGCGTCAACTACTTACAGAAAATAAATCTGAAACGCGCAGATTTATTGCTGGCGATTCATCGCCCCCCCCCCTTCCGAAAAATCATTCGTCACCCCGACGGTACAATGTAATGAAAAACGGCCGGGCTCGCGGGGCGGACGCCGCGCGGTGCGGCATATGCGGGCAATCCTTCCGAAAATGCAACGAATTACGCGACCGTAATTCGCTGTAAAGCCCGCAAACTACACGTCTATCTGCGGGCTCGCGAATCCCCGGAAAGAGAAGCGCGTCCCCGCGCGCGGGGATTAACAGCGGCTGCCACTTAACGAACCTGAACGCGGTCACTAACTCCTCTCACCGCGGACACGCGCCCTAAACAACTAACGCGGTTTCACGATGGACGAAATTCTGCCTATAACTCGATGAGTTTTCCCGTTTCGCTCCCCTCCCCTCCCCCTCCGGCCCCGCGACGCGCATTAATCTCGCTATGTATATCCGCGAATCCGAAGGGCCATCGAAACTTTTCAATAATTCCGTGCGGCCGGGCAAAAAGCTCAGCCGCGGCAAGTTGGGCCGCTGGCTGCCGGATAGAGCTTTCGGTGATAGCGCGGCGCCCGTTGGTCTCGCTGGTCGAACACGGACCGGCGGATACGCGGAGAAAGGAGAGAGAGAGAGGAGAGAGGAGAGAGAGAGAGAGAGAGAGAGAGAGAGGGGTGGGCGAGGGGAGTTGGAGAGGAACATAGGGCAGGAGGCAGAGGCGTATCGTGGTGAAAACTCGGGTGCTCGAAACGAGAGCAGCGCCGTTGAAAACCCCGACCGTAACCAGTCAGATTCAATCTGCATAATGGAGAAAGCTCGAGACAATGTTTGCACGGGGCTCTCCGCGCGTGCTACGTTTCTCTCCCGTCTCTCTCCCTCGGACCGTTGAATCGTATCTTTCTCTCCTCCCCCGGTCTTCTTCTCTTTTCCATCCTCGAGACCGGCGGACTCACCGCGGATTGGTTCGGGGTTCGGGTGGAACCAAAGAGCTTGTTAATGGGTTCATTTGGATTCGATCATCGCCTTACCTTTCCCATCCACCGGTGCTACGTCTCCCTCGTCCTCGTTTTATCTCGTCTTCGCTGATTTACTCGTCCTCGTACCCACCTCGTTCCAATCTTTACTCTATCGAGTCGTTACCGAGCGGTCTTCTCATCCGCCATCGCTTGCGTAGAGGTGAATGGAATAAGGAGTGATGGGACGAGTCGCCGGGCAAGCAACGGCGGAAGGTTAGGCGGTCGTTAAAAACGTTGATTGGAAAATTAATTCGACGTATTTGTCAAGATTGCACGGGAGCGTAAACGATAAAGGGGGACTAGCTGTAGGAGGCGATGAGGACGAATGTGAGAACGTTACGAGGATCGGCGAAGGGGAGACTCAATGACTGAATTTAGTAAATGATAATTAATAGGAATTCTTCCTATTTATATCTACGTTCATCCTACGAAATATATTGGACGTGTGTATTTTTATATATGTCGGAATGGAGTTTCTCTCCTAACTTCTCAAACTATCATAAATTTGCAGTAATGTGATAAAATTGCTTTACGGGTTGGAGAAAGGAGTCCCGATTTATGCGTGGCGATTCAATAGGTCGATTATAATTCTTCTTGCCTTTTAATGTCACCCGCCAGATCGGTTTATTTCCTCGTTCCTCCGTACCGATTGCGTCATCGTCTTTCAATTGCAGCATAAAGAACATCCCCGAGCCCGCCATTCACCTCTCCCTCCCGCTTGCCACCCGGAATCGAGCGGAAAAGGGGAAACTTTTGTCCGGCGGGGTTTTCAGCACTTTTCTAAACGACGCGGCCTTCGTTAAGACATTTTTAATCAGTGGCAGAAGAGCTTCGAAGTGGTGGAAGCGGCGAGGGGGGGGGGGGTGGGGGAAGAGACTTTCGCGGAATCGCTGATCTTTCTATTTCAACGGCTACAACAACCCCTTATCCCCTGACCTTATTAAGAACACCACACTGTTCGCCCGCTCTGTTCCACCTCCGTCTAGGAATGGAAGAAGAGATGGGGCGAGGTGGGGACGCAGGGAGGGTAAAGTGTGCTGATGTCGCGCGGATCTCCGGGACGATTTCCGCGGTCCCTTATATCACTTTTTGCACCTTTTTGCGCGCCCTCGCCGCGGCGATTATCACCTTGAGGATGCATTCTCGAGTATCGCGTTTCTCGCGGCTCCGAGACGGCGGCGGCCGCTTGATGAGATTTTCATAGAAACGCCGGTTGATTATTCGGATGCAGTGCGCGCGCTCGCGCGGATTCCCGCGATTGCGAATTCATATGGTGATGCAACTGTCGGCGCGGTATAACTTTGGCGGAACCGCGCGCGGAGATTTTCTCGAATATTAAAGTTTTCGCGCCGAAAATGAAGTTTAGACGACGCGGTCGGGCGGATGCAAATGAAATCAGCCGCCGCGAGATGAGTTCCTTTATCCCAAAGAAATAGCTGCGACCGAAAGGAAGTGCCGAGCTACAACGTATGATCTTACGTCCGTTACACCTCGCGATGAAATTTCAAGGCGACATTTTTTATACAATTGTAACGAGATCACTATACGGTAATCTTTTTAAAGAATATACGTATGTGTACACACCACGGTCCTACATACAGGTCTGAAAACAACGATGGTGGGGGTAGACCTTAATGTCCGCGTTTTTACTTCGATTTTCAGCCGCAAGGTGCCACGTATGATCTAGGTTAGGGTTAGGATTAGGGGGTTAGGTTAGGTTGCACATATTAGAGGTATGTGCGATATAAAATCACTTGTGCGTATGTATCAATATTTTACAATGCTGTTCTTCCTAGAGACGCATAAAATAAACTATCTCAATATTTTTTGGCACTTTAATAGCATAGTATTTTTGTTTCATAGTTCTATACCCTGTATTGCACTTCGATATCGCACACGATTTAGGCATTTCAGCAGAAATTATTATACAATTTACGGTTATAGAAACAGTCACAATTTCAATTCTCACAGAGCTACACGTGACTCACAGACTGCACATTTGAGGTTATATCTCACCGCACTCCAGAACTAGTAGCGACGCACAGTGACGATAGCGCGAACGAAAAACTAACTTCTTAATGGAGTCACCCCCACCACTAAAAATTCAATGTTTGTCCGAGAGTAAGCCGTTTTATCTTTTTCGAATAAGAAAGAAGATGCAAAAAAATTTATCGTACAACTGGGACGTTATGTGAAATTGACTTAATACGTCGGGTGGAAATGTAACTTTAATTATTTTATACTGTGCAGGATTGAAAATGCGCTATGTATACGTTTTGATTCCGCTTCATAACTGCTACTCTTAAAATACACGTGGTAAACGGCATAAATAACGAGATGAACGTTACTAGAATATTGTAGAGTGCCAAGCTCGCTTCTTATTGAGCTCTTAGCTGTATTCGCATAAATACGTGAACAAACGCTTCTTCGAGCGTCACTCTCATGAAACATTTACCTTTTTGAAGTAACCGCCGTGGAGTCGCATATGGCCATTAAGGGCTGGTATGTTTTTAAATTTTCTATGGCACAGATTGCACTCCACCGGTTTCGGTTCCGTTTGGGACTTGTTGGGAGTTGCGACCGTGCCGGGAGAAGACGAATTTCCGGGAGACGGACTGCCCTTCCCTACATTTCCGTTTCCCGGTGAGCCGACCTGTTGTTGTTGCTGCTGCTGTTGCTGCTGCTGTTGCTGCTGCTGCTGCGCTTGCTGCTGCGCCTGCTGCTGTTGTTGCTGCAAGCAGAAAGCAAAATTCTCTTCCAATATGTAATGAAAGATTGAAGAAAACGTTTAAATATTTACAATTACAGAGAGTCTCAGGTATACCAAGATTGGTTCCTATAGAATTTTGAGAGGTATATTATTTAATGCACTTGAAGCGCATTTTACATATACAAACATTCAAGTCGCAATTACTTGATAATAAATAATAAGCGATTTAAAAGAGCGCAACAGATGTCGCGTATAATTGCTAGTGTACAGGATCCTGTATTGTCACAAGGGAGAGAAGAGCGTTTATATATATAAAATATTCGCGACATAATGATCTCATTATTTCTGACGGTGGCACATAACGAGTAAAGACCAGAATAAACGTAAGACCGAGAATAATTGAACAAAGGGAGAGTTTCCTTTATGGCAGCTTCTTCTTTTATGGCGCGCCCTACATCTGGCTTAATGCCCTTCTTCTGAAGTCGCGCAAGATTTTTAGTGGCAACGCACAGAGCTTTCCGTGCCTTCCGGTGTTCCCATTTCGCTCTTGCCGGGGACCGCGCTTCGCGTTTCGATGGGGGAGAGGAGACGAAATTCCATCTGTGGGCAAGGGGGGAGAGAAGGACGATGGTGTAGCACGCGTAACACTAATACGACTATGTAGCACGCGAAAGTTGCCGCTCTCTGCCCGCCGGTTAAGCCCTCTCGAGGGCCGAGAACCGTTCCTCTTCTACCTCCTTCGGAGCCTTGTATAAACTCCGCAACTTCGTAAGCGCGTAAGAGGGAATAGAGATGGGAGAATTGCTAACTACAGATCAGAGAACGTTGCACGCCCGCTGCACAATTTGCATCGCTTCCAGGCGATACGACGATCGTCCGGGGACGCGAGATACGGCGCGCGGGCGAGAAGCTCGACTCCTATATTATAACATATTATAACTTCGCTTTTGTGTTTTAGAGCTAGACGCGATCTTCACACTCTCCTCCATAAGCGTTCTGCACGATGCTCTAGACTTTACACTAATGAGTACGCGTTGAGTCCTAGGAACAATGAGACGCGCTTCTCAACAGTCGCGCTTTCGATATAATATAATTACAAGCGGGTGACGAATGTTTTTTGATATTGGTTCTTACATCAAAATGTTGTCTTTGACGAATACAGACCCAAGGCCCTGCATTCGCTACTTAAATCGTTTTAAGAGCGTATCAAATGAAACATTTACAATGAGACCCATATCTTGGGACTTGATGGATGAATTCGTAGCGCTAAATTGAAGACCAGTTCCTTCTTTGTTTTTTTTTAAATATTATATCGTCACACACATAGCATTTTCGCCAGTGTCAGAAAAAAATTGTTAAAAATAAAAAATACCGTAGCCGACTTACAGAGATCAGCTTCGTCACGAATATCAAATTAACTCCCAAGATCCGTCCATCGGACCGGGTCTTTAAACTGGTTTTTAGTCAAGTCCTTTGGCAGAAACGCAACTATAAATACAGGTCTCAGAGACTCGGGATTGCATCGCATGTGCATATTATTCTCTTTCCTGCTTTCGCTAGGCTAGCGTGCGCTCCCTTCGCGCGAGCTTACTTCCTCCACGCCTCCTTTTGCGGCGTGCAAAACTCCTGTCGTATAAGTTCGAGAATTGCTGCGAGAAGAGCGAAGTTGCTGCCTCTTCCATCAAGCTTCCCGGAATCGAGAATTCTAAGCTTAGTCGTAAGTACATATTCGATGCTGCCGCGAGGCATGTCTGGATAAGAGCTTTGGAAATTTAATAACTGTAAGTAGATCCAATACTCGATATCCTGCGGAAGGAACTTAAAAGGTCGCGCGTTTAAAGCGCGGAAGCGAGACAGCTAATATTTTAGAACGCTTTGGATAATATGGATAATATTGTGATTCTCTTATATTCGGCGTTAAAATCACATTCGCCGACAAATGCTGCTCGGCTAATCTGCCGACACTTTTTCAACGTGTCCGCTCGCGTCCGAATCGTTCTTCTCCTTTTGATCTGCAAACGAAGCCGCGCGTAACCGCATCCGTACGTGAGAGGCATTCGGCAGCGCGAAAGAACAAGAAGCCACACATACGTGCGCGCGACTAGTCTTCATATCTGCCCCTTCCCCATTTCTCACCCTTCTTTGCTCAATAATAGCGGAACGTTACTCGGCCTTAACTACCTCTTCTTACTGGAAGCGATTTGCCATCGCATTTGTCTAGAGGAAGTCTTCTAACTTGAAACCTGGGCGCTATTAACAATTCAAAGATAGATTTATTTTATCAACTTGCGCTATTGAGTTATAATTTTAGAACTCGGTGCGGTCGATAGATATTTTTTTTATAAAGATGCTGTCTTCAGATATTTTTATGGAAAGGAAAGCTTGAGAAATTTTCACGCCGACTTATAATATACTTTATAAAGAGAAACCTTTCATATCTTTTATAAACCTTTGCAAATATCGCGAGTTTAATATATATTATCATTCAATAGCCTTTTGTCACTTAGAGAGAGAAAAAAAGAACGTATTTCCAGCCAGTGAACAAACGTCTGTCGCGAAGGAAGGACGGCGAAGGCAGAGAGAAGCGCGAAAGACTATTCTTTCCTGCTATCAGCGGATGTCTTCATAAAGTTAGATCACCTATAGCACCAGCCGCGTAATTGCAAAGGGAAAGAGGCGCGAGCGTCGCGACGGTAATCAAAAGGACGCTCTGTGGTCTTGACTTTTCGTTGGCGCGTTTTTTGCGTGATATTGCTGATGGATACACATGCTCGTTCCGTTATCCGGTCGAGGAAAAACGTTGAATTGCGAAAAAGCTTTTGACACGCGCAAATATAGCTTCGTGGATGCGAGTACCGGATGATCGACGTTGGAACGCGATCGCCGCGGGGGAAACGCGATCGATTCGCAAGTGAAAATGCGTATTAGTTATTTAACAGCTTTGATAGATTATACACGTCGTTCGTTATATCTGAGGAATTTCGCGTAAATAAATTCCGTTGCGTTATTAAATTCCCTATCGTCTGCGTATCTCTTGACAGCAACATAATGTCGTTGTGCCTGAAACACAGCGATGTATCACCATTGAATTGACTTTAAAGTCAAAAAACAGACGCGAGGACGTCGTCTTTATAATGTTATTGCGACAAATATTACCACATGCCTCGGTGGTCGAATTGGTGAGACGCCCGCCTGGAGAGTAAGGGAGGTCAGGGTTCAAACCCTGGCTGAGGTAATATTTTTCGCAATAAATTTTCTGCATTAACCGATTAATTAACAGTTGTGGCCAGCTGTGGTCGGATGAAATTTGGAATTTTATTATCATACTGGCAATTTGAAGAAACTAATCTTTGGCTTCAAAGTGTTGAGGATTAATGCTTCATCCCTAACGCCGTCGGGTCTGTTGATGCATTAAGATTCAACGTTAATCCTGATGAGTTTTAAAGCTCTAAAGATACACGGACGCGTAATCATTGACGCCCGTCGACGTCTCGCTCGGAGATTAATTTTCTTCCTCCTACGTTTATCGCGTAATTCACTACGGTTCGACGGTAATCGCGGCTCGTTCGAGGCGCCGATGCGCAGCCGCCGCGAGCGAGTTTAACTTAAAAGTAGGCTTTTTCATGGAAAGCAGCTCCGGCAAAATTGGTTTAATTCGTGCGTCGACGAGAGCGCAATTGTACCTCCCCTCGAACCAGCTGCAGGTATTTCGCTCGTCATCGTTCGCAGCGTGTGCAGCTGATAGATCGCGAGATAGCTATCGATCCTCGCCAGCGACCTACCACGTTCATCTTTCACGATACCGTAGTACTCGATCGCGGCGGATATCTCATCAATTTCTGCAAACAATCTTCGATCCCAACGAGATCCTGAATTCGTTCGGAGCGAGAGGAGAAGCTTTCGCGCTTTCGCGCCGTGTTAAGGCAACGCGTTCATTTGCCGAGGTATCTTTCGATCACAAACAAAATTGGCGCGCGATTCCCACGACAGAAACGAGAATGCACAGGCTAGGAGTGTCAAATATTCGTTTTACACAGAATTAGAGATTTCTTTCGAGACAACATCGATCGGTAAACTCATCGTACTTCCTTCTTCTACTCGTCTCGATAGAATGGATGTTAGATAGAGACCGCGTTTGTAATTGTTGAGATCTGTTCTTCTTTTACATCCCTAATTCAAAGTCGATACTTAACTACAAAATTGATATTAATAATTAAAATAATAGAAAAGAAAGACGCTAAGGGTAATGGGAGCCGTCACCAGATACCTAGTGTCTTTCTTTCTATTATTTTAGATATTGATATCAATTTTGTATCCTTTGGAGCCTATTTATCATTATCATCGATACATAATGATAAATGACGTATAAAAATATCTGTGGCTTCGCTTCTTCTCGATTTTCCGTGGAATAACGTGACTCAATTACTTCGGGATTAATGCGGGATACGTGCTGAAAATGCAAAAGACGTTTCGCGTGGCAAATCCGCGATTGCGACGTGTTCATTTTGCATTCGCTGTTAGCGTCGCCTCGATAGCTTAGCCGACGGAGACGTAATTGTCCCCAAGAAGTGCGAGGAGCGTCATTCTTCCTTCTCCTTCCGCTTCGAAAGATATCGTAGCGCCTCGGCAACGACTTAACCTGTTCAAGTACGGCCGGAGTAAAATTACGGCCCGTTTCCGGGCCGGTGGTCCGCATAGTGAGCGGAAATTTGGTGATTCCATCGTTGCCGTCTTCGAGAGCCGATTTAGCTGTGACATTTGACGCACTTGGACGCGAATGAGGCAGCGATAGAAAATGTATTGCCGTTTGATTATACGTCGCATCCGAGTTAAGCAAAGCAAATAAAATGTATAAAATTTAAGTATAATAATAATAATCAATAACAACAACAGAGCATACGGCAATATGGTCGAGAATATTAACTGCGTATCTACAGAGTATTGAGTTATACATCGATAAAATGGATTGACCGAAATACGATTTTCGCAATTATGCGAGTAGGCAGTTTGTACCTTAAATAAAGAATGACGTAACAACGGGGGGGGGGGGAATCGAGAATAGACATTTATACAAGCGAGAGAGAGAATGGGGGGAGGGGAGGGGCGATCTAAGTGCCGGTGAATTGCGCGAGTGGATCGTTACTAGCGGCTTGCTCCTTGAGCCAGTATCTTGGTTGGTCCTGGCATGTATGATTAAATTAGAACAATGCCGGCATAACTCGCCTAGCATGCTCATCCCCTTCCACCGCAGTCAGTCGCCCTGCAGCTTGCGCCAGGTTTACCACTTGCTAGTAGATGCTAGTAGTTTAGAAACCCCCCCCCCCCTCTCTCTCTCTCTCTCGCCACAACTCCACCCTGCCTCACCCTCTTCGTCTTTCTCGCGTTCTCCATTTCTTCCTCCGTTTATCGCCGCCGATTCGGTCTCTCCGCACGCTTGTAATCTCCCGGCAATCCGTAATTTTACGGCGTGCGTGCGTACTTGTCAGGACGACAATGCGACTTCAGCCACGCCGAGTTAATCGCTTTCGCACGGTCCGCTTCTCGAGGAGATTGCGCTAACGCGTTAACCCTTTCGCGCCTAATGGATTATATGCGGTAGTCTCGCGTAAGCGTTCGGCGACAGCCTTTACACATAGCCACAAAGTTGTAAGATGAAAGTCTTAGATGTTTATTAGAGACGCGTAAAATGATATTTGTTTTAGCTTTATTCACTTGGAAAATACCGAAAGACGTTTTCATCCTTCGAAAATAAATTCACAGATTCTATTCAGAGATAAGTAGCTCAAGAGCGAGAACATTTACAAAATCTCAGGAAATTGTAAGTGGCTTGACGGGGAGGGGGGGGGGATAAATCTTGAATTGAACTAGAAAGAAAGGAAAATTTTCTAACTTCCATTAAAATAATAAATTTTAGCTCGTACCTTCGATATTTTCGCAGTATATTTGAGTACAGTTATCGCGGGGCAGAATAACGAAATAACACGATAAAATAAAGTACTACAATCCTTGCGGGAAAAAACTTCATGCCCCAGTTCCGCGACATCTTGTCTAAACACAGCGAATTACAGTGGCCTTAAAATATCTTTTAATTGAACAAAATTGGAAGCGCGCTCGTGGCGCTACAGTGGAGATACAGATGGAAAGGCAGAGCAAAGATAAATATTAGGTCTGGAACGAAACGAGAAAGACAGAGCAGTCCGAAAATGAAAATGGACATCCATTCATTTAACAAATTCATCTCATGCCCCATAGTGCCAATTACTCTAATGAAAGTGGTAATTCGTAGCAAAACTTGCCAAAATGCGTAGGCAATATGCAGGTCGCGAAAATACCGTAGTAATTTTATATTATTCGCTCTCGTGGCGAACAACAAATGTCATCCGGCAGTAATTTCTATTAAATCTGCAATTCTGTATAACGCCATTTTCTATACAAATTTTCTACGAAAGTGTTAGAAGTTAAAAGCTTTTCCCCACACGCGCAATTATACGTCGGAATAAATATTGTCGCATAAAACGTTAATTGGAACCCGATATATTATCGTTGATACATTTCAGACGAGTCCGTAAATAATAATCACTTCTGAAAGGAACATTTTTCGAGGTATCTCGTGTATAAATGGAAATACGAGAATATCTTTTGTATAAATTCATCTTGTTCGATTAAAGAACTCCTTTGGATGCACCCAGTTCAAACTGCTCCCGTGACTCTTAGCAAAATTACGGCGAGCATACAAAGCGAGGGAAGTTGCGACGGCGAAAGTATTTCATTTCTCGGATGGAAGTTTGCCTACTTCCTCTCTGCCTCCGGCGTGGAAGGGATATTATCCCGGCGCGATCTATTAAAATTTTCGCTGGATTTTGTCAACCTCGGAGGCAACTCAAGGGACGAGATAGGAGGGTCGGGTCTTCGGCAATATGAAATTTGGCGCAGCTGTCGCATCTCCGCGAAAATTCGTATTAATATCTCAGCTGTTCGATGTATTTGCACGTCTATGAAACCGCGCGTGGCGAACTAAGAAAAATAGTTTTTAGAATTCTCTTTTGTTAATGTCCGTAATCTACGAGTTACACGTCACTTAATTAAAGTAAAAGAATTTCGTTAATTAAATTGTAGAAATGGAATTGACGAAATTGATTTAGAAAAATTCTGCGAGTCGCAAACAAGCGATTCGCGATACCGTCAATTCGCACAATTGCGTTGCATGAAATTATAAGTGGATGATATACCGCGGGTAAAATTATCTCGGTGCCCGAGCGTTCTCTTTTTGCGCTTGAAAAAAATATGTTGTGGAGCGAGCTAAAAGCTTATTACGCTCGCTATATTATTAACCCCTTATTCCCTTTGAATTTCGCCGCGGCAAGAAGTACGCGCGGGATTTTACTTCGACAAAATCGGTGAATAAGGATTGTGAGGAAGAGAAAGCGCATGAAAAGCGTGCCGTTATATACGCCGCTGCTCGCGAGCAAATACGCAGCTACCAGCCCCTATAATCATCGCGCAAGGTTGAAAACGTGGGAGGCTTTGAGCTTTCGTCGACATCTATAAAACATAAAGCTCGGCAAAAAACAGCGGAAAACTCATTTCCATCGATCCTGGGCTATTTAATATTCACCGGACTAATATTTACACGCCGGAAACAAGCTACAGATGCGAACATAATTATGGATAACATTGTACGAAAAGAAAGTACGAGAAGCCCGGCGATTTTTTTTTCTGGATTTTGAATGATCGTTGCTGTTAACGGAATTGCCGAAGAAATTACAGAGGAACGGGGAAACTTGTTTCTTTATTTCCAAATGACTCACAAGGAGACTTACGGAAGTGTCACTGATTTGAATGAAACTTTGCACACTCGCAGGACATCGAAAAATAATCGTCACGTACTTTTTTCTTTCTGCAATAATGGCGTGGGTTGAAGAGTAGAAACCACCCCTTGAACGGCAGGGGTGATCTCCAAGCGTAGACAGAAAACAATCATTGTCGGATCGTTTCCTCTTTTAAAATGGAACTCTCCTGGGCCTTTTTGCATTTAACGCATTCACAAAGAGCCGTGACGAGTCACAAAGCACCAGAAAGAACTTCGTCGCTACCCCCTAATATATTTGAGGAAACAGCTCGGGATGTGTCACGTGAATATCCAAGCTCGATAAGCTTTCGAGCCGGGCGAAGAAAAGCCGGCGATTTAACAATTAAAGCGCGATAAATCATCGCGCGTTGTACGATATTACATAAGTAATCGGCGCGAATCTCGCGCGAGGTAGTGACGCGCGAAAAGGTGTTAAGAGCGACGAGAGAAGCATACCGCAATTAAAGAGGCTGTCAACTGCAAAATGTATTAGCGAACGGAGGCGGCGGGACGACGTCGCGTGCGCTTTGCGTTTAATCGATTCCCTTTCGGCGGTAATCCGTGCGCCAAAACCGCGCGCGCTGGCGGAAAGCATGGCACGGGTGCGGACGTGGCGAAGGAGGGACCGCTATATGCATGCAGGTAGATACACGAAGAGCGCCGAGAGGTGTACATAGGTGAGCGGAAGACGCGGGAAAGCGCGTCACGGACGACGTCCCGCTGAGGTTCCGCGTTACACGCGGGACAGGAGGACGCAAAGCGGAGGGAAGAAGCGGCGAGTCGAGGGGTGGGCGCGGGGGTGGCGGGGCGTAATTACGTTTTGTCGCTCGTCGCCCGGATTTCCTTTGTTACATTAGCCGCTCCCCTGTCCTACGGCGCCCGGAGCCCTGAATACGACGTCGCCCGGGAGAGAGAGAGAGAGCGAGGAGAGCGCCGTTAATCTTTAACGACCCGAACACACCGGGATCGGCACGGCGAAAAGGGAGAGAAAGTGTCCGATCTCCGACCGAACCGGCGGAGAAGCGGGAGGGTGCGACGAGAGGGCTTTGTAATCGAATCCCGCCGCGCTTCCTCTCCTGTTTTTGGCGGCTGCTGCCGTCGTAGACGATGCTGATCCAGTTTACGCGCGGTCAAAGCCGGCCGAGAAAGAATCCCGTTGCACGAGCGATCCCTGAGTAGATTAGACAAGCGATACTTTTACTCGTCGCCACTCCAGTGAAACGCGCACAGCTGCACGTCATTGTCGAGGTATATAATTATCGAGATTTTTACCCGAATACCTGAAAACTGTATTAAACGTATTAGGAATTTCATTCGGTTTAATCGGTAATGTTTTAAACTGTGCCGTTTAACCCTTTCTTCTTTCAACATCTTTAACAAGACAGGAATGTATAATTGTAGCCTCGCTGTGTTCTTTAATGGACTTTGCCGCGTGAGACACGCTAAGCGTATCCATCTACTCTCTCCGAGCAGTCTTTAACTATCCAAAAAGAGTAATATCACCGGTGTCCGACGTCGTTATTCAAGCGAAGCTTAGGGTAACGCGGAGTGCTGCGCGCGAAAGCGGCTTACGCTGGATCACTCGACCGAATCGCGGCGATGGATCCAAAGGAGAGTGGCGTTACTCTTGGATACTTCGCTGGTAATCCTCCCCCGAAGAGAGCGGGGGTGGCGCGCGATGCGGGAAGGCGCGAAGATTCCGAGTTACGTCGTTCGTTAACGGATCGTTGGGCAAATTCTATAGATTTCGCCGCATTATCCCGCCCCGAGTTGCCGGTGTCTGCGGCGTTCAAAGTCTATTAATTTCTCCCGTCGATGCTTTGACGGCGCGCGCGCGGTGGCATTTATATGTACAATAATATACACGAGCGTGTATGTGCGCGGCGTGTACACACGGGTACGAGCGCCTGGCAGCCCGCGGAGCGAGCGTAAAGAGAGAGAAAGGGTAATTCGGTGGGAGGATGAAGCGGAGAGAGAGCCCAAGGCTGGCGGGACCAGTAATGGAAACAGAATGGGATAATTCTGCGAGCCGCGGACGGACGCGGTAATTGCGAATAATTGCATTGTCTTCGAGTCGTTCGCCCGAGTCCGTCTCTCTCGTTGCGCTCGTTCTCGTGCACCTCTCTTTCATCCAGGGGGATCCTCCCTTTCTTTCCACCCCGAAGCGCCTCGTCTCGCGCGCGCGCGCTCACTCGCTTTCCGAGCCCGGTGAATTGCTTCGGTACGAATTGAGAGTCGCCTGGTGGAAACTCTCTCATACCGATTAGGAAATCTCGTTCCGCCGTCTTTCTGTCCACCAACGCGCGACGAGTCCGGTTTCCACCGCGGTTTAATGCCACGTGGAAATTACGCTCCGGTTGAAGAAACCGCCGAGTCTCTGCGCTAAAAGGGGTTGCCTCGTAATTGATTTCTCCGAATCGATATTATCGAGCTGTACATTCTCTCTCTCTTTCTGTCCTCCCTCCTCCCTCTTTGTCCCATAATTGTTATATCGTCGAATAATGACAGGCAGATTTGTTTTATTTGTTAGACATTGCGAAAACTTCTCTATCTTTTCTTCTTGGCCAAAAATCGGTCTATTAATTTGAGAACTGTATATATATTTCTCTTGGTTATATCACTTGTTCCTCCGCTCTCCGCGTTAAATTTGCAACGAATGTTCTCCCAGGGACGAGGCCGCCGAAGAAAGATGGTGCCCCAACGACAGATTTTGCATTCCTACGTAAAGTGGAGGCACGTGCGAGGCGACACGCCGGGATTTTGGATAATTCCGCGCACGCCTCTGGCGAGAAATAAATTTCCGACCGCGCGATCGAGACTGCCGGGCGAAAAGAAAGGGCAAGTCCCGGGAATATAGCGTTTTCGAGCGGGAGAAACTTGGTAAAGTACCTCTGATGTGTTCCAACGGCGCAGTCTCGCATAGGATATCCTGAAAAGAATCTTCGGCTCGTATACATATTTTACATGGAGCGCCGCCGAGGATTCAAGCGGGGCGATGTGTTGAACAAACCATTAAAATCCCTTTCATCTATTTCTACGCTTTTAGTTAACGTGGCAGTGTAACGCGTCGAATAGCGCTCATAAATATTCCTGGCGATTTAATTCTACTTGCAAGATTCAAGCGGCAGCAGATACATTAAAATAGCGTAGACGTTTTGTATTCCTCCGCTTGATCGAGGCAGCTACTTTCTTCTTAATGTTTCATATCGTAACCGATCAATATGGAGATGAAATGTCGATGCGATTGGAAATTCGACCGAGTCGTTAGCGCATTAACCCTTTGAAGCATACATTTTTATATTGAGCAGTTTTTTGTGAAACTTTGTATACAAGGGTTTTTGGGGTCGCTGATTACGAACCTGTTGTCAAATTTTAAATATCATAATTCAAAATGGTGGAATTCAAAACTTAAAAGCGGCCCCGAAAACCCCTTTGTACAAAGTTTCCAAGAAATAATCTTGAAAAATTTGGTCAATAATGAATTTTTCCGAAAAAATTGCTGTTTTTTCATATTTGTTTATTTATAAAACTTTTACAAATAAACATTAAAGACTACTCAACTTTTTTATGTTCTTTTATCGCTGGAATAAATGCAAAAGCCCCTAAATGCGTAAACTGGAAATTAAATGGCCAAAAAGTAAAGAAGTTGAGTAACGTGGGTTACCACCATGCTTCAAAGGGTTAAGCCGCAGTTAACGCGTGTCCTGATGTCCTCGCGCAAGCTTCCATTCTCATTTATGCGAATCGTGTCATTATTACACCATAGATTCTGCCGCGCGGATACCATAAATAATCCCGATGCAAACTAGCGCACAGAACGAATACAATAACTCATTACGCAAATACATATTCATTAATTCAAACACGTATCCAATAACTCGTTACCGCGCGCATTATATTATATGGTACACCTGTAACATTTTCGCGATCTCCGATCTTTGCGAATTCGCTTGAAACACATTTCGCGAACGCGATGCGCGTTTTGTATTTTTCATCACGAACATATAAGCTTCGACGAACAGAGCGTGTGCTGCCTTAAACCGGTTGCACCAGTCGCTTGTTAATTCGCATCGTCGTCGTCGTCGTCGTCGCCGGCGTGTCCGACGAAAATTTTACCCGAACAATCCAGCAGGTGAATTTTGCATGCACTCCGCATGGCAATTATATGACGTGGATGCGCCGCGACGCTTTAGTGTCCCCAGGCAACGTCCAGCGGAAAAGGATCGTTCAATTTGGCCGGACCTTCATTCCCGCGAATGGACGACGTCCAGAGAGCGAGAGCGCATATCTCCGCCAGCCAGAAGAGGGTGAAAGGACCTCTCTATCTCGACCATCTCCAGTTCGAGAGTTTAACGTCCGCCCGTAAACTGGACGACGTGTCTAATTACCCGACGCAAAAGCCGCCCCTTCCCAGCGAAATACGACATACGCCATTCTGATCCTCGTTCCGGCGTTCCCCGCCGCACAGCGCGCAACGAGGGCTGTTTGAATGCGCACCTACGAATAGTAATTTTATACCGAGCACACACCCCGTGACGTAATCGCGCCCAAGGGATGAAATTCTTTCCCATTGGCCAGATCGCGCCGAGTCTCCGAAAATTCCGCGAAACGCGCCGTCGGGGCGAAGCGCGAGAATTACCCGCGAAATTACGGACCGCGATAAGATCCGCGAAATTAAATGCGACATTGTTTCTATCTCGGAAATGCGATGCTGTAAACTAGAATTTCGACGCAACGTGTTTGCTACCATCCGATGCCAATTAATGGAACAATAGTATCGCGATACCAACAAACTATAATCAGATTTAAAAATAAGACCCGGTATGATATCTGGTACGGAGGGGTGGGGGGAGGGGCTGTTATTATATGTTTTGAAATTTGAGACCGATGTTTTTCCGCATAATCACGCGAGATACGATGAAGAGGGACATTTCAATACATCAAATTGTAGGCGGTTATTATGAATGCTTCTAGAAAATAACAAGTACTAATGGAGGGATTGTTTGCTTCGTCAGCCGATACGCGAGTAGGCGATACCAGTCACGGGGGAGCGGGAGGGGGGGGGGAACAACAACGCGAGCAGCAGCACTATGGACGAATGAGCGTGGGCTTGATTGGTGTTCGGTACGGGGCTGGCAAGGAATACTGGCAGGAACCGGAATGGCAACTTGCTAATGAGGGATATGTATCACTTTTCCGATAGGCGGGGCGGATGCAGATCGTCGCTACTGAATGGTTCGAACTGCAATCTGGGAATGCTGAATCGCCCCCGCGATCCAATGTACCGTGAATCGTGGGAGACGAGGGAGGAGGGGGGGGGGCGGTAAATCACAATACAACCATGACATAGAGGAGACACTTGTCAGGGCGAGCGATCCGCAACGAAGATGGATCTCTAATCGAGAGCCCCGCGGCTTCTGGACGTTTTGCTCTTTCCTTTTTTTTTTTTAAACGCGTGTTTTAAAGCTCGTGAATCACGCCGTTCGGAGAATACGCGTGCGTATTGACAAACGATAAACAATATTAATGAGAAAATTACGAGAGATTGACAACTATTGGATCTATTATCGAACAACGATTGGCATTGTTCGATTTAAATGTCATTGTCCGTCGTGTCGCGCACGTTCTCGCACGCTGGCACAATGGGGCGCGTCTTCTCGCTAATTGTATGATCGACTTTGTAATTACCATAACAATTATCATAATTAGCGAAGCGGACGGGCCAGAGCACGGTTATCTAGGGCTCTCGCGATTATCCCGCTGGAATTCGGGCTTAGACGGGCGCTTAAGCTTCCGCCATTAGTTTAATGGCCGTTTAAATACCGAGCTTTAAATAATAGCACCTAGTGCGCGCAATAGGAGAAATGTAAACAATGCTTTTGCAAAGTAACCGTACCCGTAAATGCACTGCGCTTCGTTTCCACAAGAGTAAGTGCAATAAATTCTGCCATAAAAGACGAGGCTACGTTGTATTCGCCTCGCGACAGTTGACGGATAATAATTCTTGTACGGCAGAGACGTAGCTGCATAATTTCGTTACGTTTATAGATGCAGGGTAAAACTCTTGCGCGCGGCGCAAAGCTGAGAGGCAATAACAACAATCAAAGACAAAGCTCATATTGCTTCTATTTCTAGCGCAAATATAGTGCAGAGCGCCAACTTTTGTTTCGCTCGGTGGAGAAACGTTCGGATATTCCAACTTTCGATCGCACGAACGAGATACGCGCGACGAGAAGCGTTGACCAGCTGCCACCATCCCCCCTGCCCTCTTTCACCCTGAAATTACCCGCGCGCAAAACCGCGTGCGACCGCGTTCCTCCATCGCGTAATAGAATTTACGGTGCCGGCACGTATACGTCGCACCGTATACTCGCGATGCATCAAAAACACCGACGAAGATGTAGTACGCGATAACACGAAGCGGCAATTACTCTTCACTTTCCGCGCGGATATCCCTCGCGCGTTCGACGCGCGTTGCAACCCCCTTTTCGCGCCGCCTCTGTGCGTGCGTGCGTGCGTGCGTGCGTGCGTGCGTGCATACGTATGTGCGTGCCCGCGTGCGTGCTCGAGGGTCGATCGATCTAAACGGGCCGGGCGTAACAGACGGAAAATCCGGTGAAAAGCGCGCGGGCTCTCACAATAAGCGGCGCACGCAGACGCGCGCACACGGACGCGGCGCAGACGTCATTGTTCCAGCCAGGCCTTTTGTCAGTGAACGAATTACTGTTGCTGTTTAGACCCCCCTCTCATTTGCGCCGTTTTCACCCCCTCAGCCCAGCCATCTTCGACGCGCTTTCTCCCTCGCCGCATTGCCCGCGACTTTCGATTCTCCACCCCCACGAACCTGCGTGCCGCGTCGGCACCGAGCTACTCTTCCATCCCGTCCACGCCGGCGATCGCGGCAAGCCTTTTCAGGGCGATCTACCCCGACGCTGATGATACGGTCGTAATTATCGCTTGTTTCGCGCGGCGCTAATCAGCGCCGGCACGGCCAAGTTCCACGCGCCAGAATATTTCCGGCAGATCTTGAGCCGATCGCGAGACAATTCTTCTTATTATTTGTATGTAATCGTGCGTTCTCTTGAAAAGAATACAGCAACCCATTTTGGGATTCATAATTAGTAATCGAATTATTTGGATTGTTTGTAACTAAAAATCGTAATTAGCTATCTACATCCAAGATTTTTAAGTGATATTAATCAATTCTCTCAATTAGTTCTGTCGATATTCAGTAACGCAAAGATAATTTTCACTTAAGAGGCACTAACCGAAATGTTAAGTTGTTTAACTACAAAAAAAACCGATCAAAATTTTTCCCAGAATAGGATTACGGACAATCCCAATAATTCAATTACTAATTGTGGGCCCGCAAATGGGTTACCACTGTATTTTTTTTCCCCGAGTTTTTCGTTCAACTTCCTTCAAAGTTTATTAGCTACGTTTTTATCCCGCTGCGCGTGAACATACATTCTCTCCGAAAGTCAATCAGTGATTATTCGCTGTTTTCAATGATAATCTACTGATTGATTTTTGGAGGGTTCGTTGTAGCGATCGTTCTATTTTATTGACTTTTTCTGCCACGGTATTCCTACTCGGCTTTTGTAAAGCGGGCGAGATATTCGGCTGCTTTATCCTATTCACTTAAACGTCGATAAACCGGCGAGTTTGCATCGCGCGCGTATGAATGAGCGCAATCCGTCTTATCGAGCTGCGATAGAGATTCTCGAGATATTTTCGCAGAGCCGGGAAATTCGGCGGCCGCTCATTCGCGCGCGCGCGCGCCACGTGCAGAATCGTAAATCCGCGCGATAACGACGGGCTCGTTCGGCGCGAGAACGCTATACAAGGGCGCATAATTCCGCGCGTATCTATACGATGACGGAGAGACGTGCCTCTCGCGCGCGCGCGCGCCCTTTATTAGGGGGCCGC